GAGAGGGAGGAAGAGGTGGATGAGACGGGTATCCAGAGGCACCCCGAGGGACGGCGAGGAGGACGAGGCAGGGAGGTCGGTGCGGGCCGCGCGCCCGCGTCCCGTCGATCCCGTGCGATGGGCTCCGCTGCCTGTAGCGGCGCTCCCCGCAGCGGCGAGGCCGCTCTCCCTGGCATCCCCCCATGCTGCCACGCGCTCTCCTTCCCCCTCCTGCCTGCCCATCTCTGCATCAACTCATGGGAGCCTTGCAGGATCTCTGGCAGTGCCGCTGTGAGGGAGCACTCGCCTGCGCTGGCGTGCGGTGATGGATGAGACAGCGCTGGTGCGGCGTCGACTGGCGCTGTGTAGCGTCGTCGGTCAGCGTCGGCTCGCAAGAGCCAGCACTGAGGCATGGGAGGCTCCTACGAGCTGCCACAGAGCCGCCCATGCTCTGCCTCTCTCCCCACCTCCCGGCGACGCGCGCCGTGTCCGGGCTGCGCGGCCCATTGGTGCTGCCCACCACCGTGCTTCACCCCCTGCCTCTTGTCCTCCCGGGCCCGCCTCTTTGGAGGCAGGCCACTCCAGCTTCCAGCTTCCGGTGAACCCTGCTCTCTCTTCCCCTCCTCATTGTCCTCTCCATGCCGTTTCTCCGCCCCCATCGCTCCCCGCGGCACGCAGGGCAGGCACGAAGCCCTCGGATCGAAGACGCCCACGGCGAATCACCGCCGCCCCCCGCCTTCTAGAATTGCCCATGTGGCCGAGCGTTGTGGCAAGAGTTCTGCCAAGCAGTCGGACCATGTTTTCCCGCGCCGCTGTGGAAACCCTTCGGGGAACACTTGGGGGAGGATGGCGAGGAACATCAGGAGGAGGAGGAGGAGGAAACAACGAGCCCAAACAGCGCTGCTGTGTCCTGTGTCGCGGGACGACAGCTGCAGGTTATGCGATGGCGTTTGTGGCGCAGGGCCGTGCCCAGCGCGAGGAGGCCAATGAGAAGTATTTGCGGAGGGCACTGCCCAGCGCAAAACGCTACCGAATTCGAGAATTCGATGGCGCTGAAATTGCTCATTCGCGCGAACTTGAGACAATGAACTGCGTTGTATACTTGGTGGCCAGAAAACAATATGAGGAAACATTCAGAGCCATTCAATGGAGCATGTTTCCCGAAGCCTTTCGGTCAGGCTTCGGGGGACATCGTCTGGCATGGCGTCTCCATTTCCCGCTTCGCAGGAGCCTCCAGCATTACAGCCTCTTCAGATTTTGTTATGTAAATATGTGGTAATGACGTATTCCCGCGGGTGGTCTGGTGGAAAGAATCCCGGACATGATTCGCGAATGATAAGGAAGAGGATCCGGAGACACAAAATAATGAGGAGTAAGGGGAAGTGCGGAGACGAAGGAGGGAAAATGGGAAAACGTGTGGCCAACATTTCGCCATGTTATTTGTCCATGCGCTCCCCCAAACATTGCGGAAGCCCTTCGGGGAACACGTGGGGGGGGGGAGATGAGGATAAGGAGAGGGAGGACCAGGGAGGAGGACAACAACGAGGACATTCCTTGGGAGCATCATGGGCCATTCTGGGAGCCCCCTGGTGGCTCTGGGGGCAGTTTCGAAGCCTCCTGGGGACTTCTCGGAGGCCTCTTGGAGGCCCTTTCTTGGGGGGCCTCCAAGAGGCCTGTCGTCGGCCTTTCGGGGGCTCCTTGAGGGCCTCCCCGTGGCCGTTCTGGGGCGTTCCTGGGCCCGTCTGACGCTGTCGGAAGCCGTATTTGGGGCCTCTCTGTCGGGGGAGAAAAAGATACGGATACGTGTTGTCCCCCGTCGTTTTCGGCCTTTCCTGATCCTCCTGGGGAATCCTCGTTGTCACCGCTGGATTCGCCTCGAAATTCTGGTCAGAACGCACCCCAAGAGAGGTCCGGGGACAACACGTATCCGTATCTTTCCGCCCCCCAATTCTGGGCCATTTCGGGACGTTCGGGTGGCGCATCAGGGCCGTCTTGGAGGCCATCTTGGGCGTCTTGGAGGCCTCTTGGGCCGTCTTGGAGCCCTCCTGGAGCCGTCTTGGGGGCCCTCTGGGGCCGTCATGGGGCGTCCATCCTGAGACGATCTCGGGGCCTCTTGGGCCATCTTGGGCCTTAGGGAAGCCGATAAGAAGCTAGTGCCCAACAGCATTCAACAATTCAAGGAACATCCATTATTTTAGCCTCTTCGGGTCCTCCTGGATAACCTCAGGGAGGCCTCTCGGGCTGTCTTGGAGGTTTCTTGGGCGGACTTTGAGGTATCTTGGACCCTCTTGCGCCATTTTGGACGCTATCTTGGAACTTCTTGGGAGAACTTGGAAGCCATCTTGCCCTCTTGGAGACCATTTTGAGCCGCTTTGGAGGATTCGTTCCCGAGATTGAGGTCGTTTCTGGGCCTTCCGCGAGTTCGGCGGGCTGAGCCGAAGCCCCAGGGAGAGTTATTTAATCGCTTCGCTCATTCCGCCGGCCCATACAGTCTCATGTCTGCCGTTTGCCCGAGGGCCTGGTGTCAATGCGGCGCTTTGGGGGTTCCTGGGGCCGCTTGGGGGACTCCTGGGGCGCTCGGGGGGGCATTTGGGGGGCCTCCTGGGGCCGCTTGGGGGACTCTTGGGGGCCTCCTGAGGGCCCCGTGGGGGCCTCTTGGGGCCTCTTAGGGGCCTCGTAGGGGCTTCTTAGGGCCGAGGGCTCGAAATGTTGTTTCGTGTTCCCTCTCTGGGGCCCCTTTGGGGGCGTTCTTGGGGCCCTCTTGGACCGTTTTGGAGGCTTCTTGGGCCGTCTTCGAGCCCTCTTGGGCCATCTTGGGGCCCTCTTGGGTGCCTCTTGGGCCCTCTTGGGGCGATCTTGGGGGCCTCTTGGGCCGTCTTGGGGCGTCGGGAAGCCGAAAAGGTGGAAGCTCCAAAATCTTTCAAAAACCTATGGAAAAACAATGATTTTTGCCTCCGGGGGCCCTATTGGGAGTGCTCTTGGAGGCCTCTTGGGGCGTCTGGGGGCTATCTTGGGCGTCTTGGAGCGATCTTGTGGCATGTCGGACCCCTCGTGTACCATCTTGGGGGCCTCTTGGGGGCCTCTTGGCCTTTCTTGGGGCTCTCGGGGACGTCTCGGAGCCCTGTTGGTGCGCTCATGGAGCGCTCGGGGGGACCCGGCCGGGACCTGGTCGGGGTACTTTTCGTCCGGGGACCCCCAGGGGCCGCCCCGCGCGCGCGAACTAGAAAATTGTTAACCAGTTACCGGAGATCTTAGCACGCCTCTGGCCCGTTGGGCCGGCGAATTTCGGAAAAGAACCAGAACCAAAGATCGTAGGATCCAGCACGCCAGGCACCCCTGTGGCAAGACCACAGGAGGCGGCGGATCGAAGACGCCTACGGCGAATCACCGCCGCCCCCCGCCTTCTGGGATCGCTTATGTGGCCAAGCGTTGTGGCAAAATCTCTGCCAAGGTATCGGGCCATGTGTTCTCCCAACCGTTGTGAAAACCCTCCGGGGAACACTTGGGGGAGGATGGCCCGGGAAGATCAAGAGGAGGCGGAGGAGGAGGAGGTGAGGAGGAGGAGGAGGGGGCATCTTGGGAGACTTTGGGGACACTCTTGGGGCCTCCTGGGAGCTTCCTGGGAGCCTCTTTCACCTTTGGAGGTTTCTAGGGGGCCTCTTTGGCTGTCTTGGTGGTCTGCTGGCCCGTCTGACGCCGTCAGAAGCCGTCTTGGGGGCCTCTCTGGGCCGACTTGGGGCTTTCTTGGGGTGCTCCAGGGCCGTCTTGGAAGCCATCTTGAGCGTCTTGGAGGCCTCTTGGGCCGTCTTGGTGGGGGCCTCTTGGGGCCGTCTTGTGCCTCTTGGGCGATCTTGAGGGGCACATGGGCCGTCCCGGGCCGTCGGAAGGCCGAACACAAGCAAATGTCACAATCCTTCAAAAACCCTTGGGAAATCAATGATTTGGGCCTGTTCGGGCCTTCTGGGGGCCCTCTTGGAGGCCTCTTGGGCCGTCTTGGGCCATCTTAGGGCCATCTTCGGCTGTCTTGGTGGGCTCCTGGCCCGTCTGACGCCGCCGGAAGACGTTTGGGGGGCCTCTCTGGGCCGACTTGGGGTCCTCTTGGAATGCTCCAGGGCCGCCTTGGAGGCCATCTTGGGCGTCTTAAAGGCATCCTGGGCCGTCTTGAGGGCCTCTTGGGGCCGTCTTGGGGGCCTGTTGGGCCGTTCTGGGGCCATCTTGGAAGCCCCTTGGGAGATTTTTGGGCGATCTTTGGGGGCTCTTAGGCCGTCTCGGGCCGTCGGAAGGTCGAAAAGAAGCAAATGTCAAAATCCTTTAAAAACCTCGGGCCAGCTTCGAGCCAGCTTCGGCCATCTTGGTGGGCTCCTGGCCCGTCTGACGCCGTCGGAAGCCGTCTTGGGGGCCTCTCTGGGCCGACTTGGGGCTTTCTTGGGGTGCTCCAGGGCCGTCTTGGAGGCCATCTTGGGCGTCTTGGAGGCCTCTTGGGTCGTCTTTGTGTCCTCTTGGGGCCGTCTTGGAGGCCTCTTGGGCAGTCCTGAGGCCATCTTGGAGGCCTCTTGGGCGCTCTGAGGGCGATCTTGGGGTCCTCTTGTGTCGTCTTGGGTCGTCGGAAAGCCGAAACGATGCAAATACGAAAAAACAAAAAAACGTATGGGAAATCCATGAATTTAGCCTCTTCGGGCCCTCCTGGAGGACCCCTCCGAGGCCTCTTGGGCCGTCTTAGAGGCCTCTTGGGCACCTCTTAGGCCGTCTTGGGCCGTCTTGGAGGTTTCTTGGGCGGACTTGGAGGCATCTCCTCCTCTCTTGGGCCGTCTTGGAGACCACCTTGGGCGAACTTGGAGGCCATCTTGGCCGTCTTGGAGGCCATCTTCGGCAATCTTGGCCGTCTTGGACGCGACAGAGGGAACCACCCACCCGGGCATGTTCGGCAACCTTTCGGGTGGCCGGCGGGACGGGCCGAAGCCCCAGAGGGATTTCTTTTGGAAAAGAACCAAAACCAAAACCGAAAGGGTCTAGCACGCCCGGCACCCCTGCGATGAATCGACAGGGGACGGCGGATCGAATGGCCTTCGGTCTATCCCGCCACCGTGCCTGGGTTTTGGGTGTGAAGACTATGGGGTGTTCGTTGGGAACTCGTTGGAGGCCTTTTGGAGGCAGTTTGGAGGCCGTTTGGGGGTTGTTTGGGGGCCTCTTGGGCCTCTTTGGGGGGAACTCTTGGGGGCCTCTTGGGGCCTCCTGGACGCCTCTTGGGGCCTCTTGGGGTGGAGCGCCCTTAGGCCACCCTTGGGGCCCTCTTGGAGGTCTCTTAGGCTGTTTTGGGGCGGTCTTGGGAGCCTCTTGGGCCGTCCTGGGGCGTCGAAAAGCGGTACAGGCGAGAACGCCAAAATCCTTCAAACACCTTGTTAAAAAACAATGTGTTTTCCTTTCGGGGCCTTCTTTGGAGGCCTCTTTCTTGGGGCGTCTGTGAGGCCTCTTGGGCCATGTTGAGGCCATCTTGGGCGTCTAGTGATGAAATTTCAGCGACTCGGTGCCCACTTGGACCGGCTTGGGGGCCTTGTGGGGCCCTCTTGTCAACGGCACCGTAATGGGTATTTGCTAACGGGTACTTTGAATGTTTGCCGAAAGCTGCCATTTTAGGGCCTTTTTCTTGCATTGCAGCTTTGCCCACATCGGGAAGGGCTGGGTTCGCTGGGTCACTGGCCAAAGTACCCGTTAGTGGAGTCCCCGTTTGAGGGGCGCTGATCTTGGCCCGTCTTGGGGCCCTCTTGGGCCCGGACAGTACATGCGACAGGATGCGCCGGAGCCCAGGGGGCACGCGGGAAATCCCGCCAGATTTCGGAACTTGGACTGAGGGTTGCGACTCCACGGATGAGGGCCTGAGGGCACGCCGCTTCCGTGTCCAGAGGCACGGCGGCGCATAATTATTGTATCCCAGCAGTCTGTCGGCCATGGATTGTGCTACCACGTTGCGAGTTACATATGTACATACATGCTAGTGTTCGAAGGTGTATATGTTTGAAAGTGTTTGTATACATACATGTATACATGTGTATGCATATGCATCTACGTGTGCACGTATATAGAAATACATATATATATACATATATATATACACATATATTTATATTATACATGTGTGTGCACGCCCGCGTGAATAGTCTAGCTCCACGGATGAGGACCTGAGGACACACCGCTTCCGTGTCCAACGGCACGGTGGCGCATAATTATTGTATCCCAGCAATATGTCGTCCATGAATTGTGTTACCACGTTGCGAGTTACATATGTGTATACATACTATTTTTTGAAGGTGCATATTGTTCGACTGTATATATATATATATATGTGTGTGTGTGTATGTGTACCTATATACATGTGTATGCATATGCTTATACGTGTGCATATATATATATATATGTATATATATATATGTATATCTGTATATGTGTGTATGCACGCCCGCGTGAATAGTCTAGCTCCAGATCCTGTGGCTCTTCCATGTGCCCAGATATATGATCATATATTGATTAGCTCATCTGGGCCCGCTATCTCGTTGAATTCGCCTGTCGTAGTCAGCCTGACTCGCCTAATTATAATCAGTCTGATTCGTCTGATTGCTTCGTCTGGTCCTCCTAACATGGCTGTTCGTTCTACCTACGTAACCTTGTGTATCTCTGATCAGTATCACTCAACGCTGTCGATCGAACCAGGTAAGCAGCAGTTACTCCATACCGTAGCGTCAAGCCATATAGGCCAACCACATGGCAATTGTTCGGCAACCACAGAACACCATCGAACATAAACCGAGATACCATCGGGACACCATCGAACATCGATCGAGACACCCTCGGGACACCTTCGAACATCAGTCGGGACACCGTCGGGGCATTGTCGACAATCAGTCTGGACGCCGTCGGGACACCTCGAGGCACACGGAGCACGCTTGCACGTGTGCACCCGCCTCCGGAAACATACACCAGGGCACCCTCGGCACACCATCGGGACATTGAGATCTAGCAGAACACCATCGAAATCCATGCGGGACACCCCCGGGGCACTGCCGAGCATGAGTCGGGGCATGTTCGGGGCACGATCGTGCACAGGAGATGGAACAGCCGCGGGGCAGCAGCGGGGGCACGCGGAGCGCCATGGGCGATGCGCTGAGTACCCGCCGCAGGGAGGGGGAGGAGGAGGAGGAGGAGGAGGAGGAGGAGGAGGAGGAGGAGGAGGAGGAGCAGGATGAGGAGGAGGAGGATGAGCAGGAGGAGCAGGAGGAGCAGGAGGAGGAGGAGGACGAGGGGGAGGAGGAGGAGGAGGAGGAGGAGGACGAGGAGGGGGAGGATGAGGAGGAGGAGGAGGAGGAGGCAACGAACGGAAGGGGGAACGAGAAGGAGAGGACACGGGGGGGATTTCGCGCAGCTCTTGCTTCCCCTAGCACGACCGACGCGGACCGAAACCGAGCTCAGATTGCTTGGTGGCGGCACTCCGTTGCATGCTGGGTTTCCTCTCCCTCGATTCTGGGCCAT